TGATACTTTTAATACTTTAGTAAATACTGATTACTTTAACACTGTAGGGTCTGCTAGGTTGTATGGCTCAGTCAGCCAGGGTTGGTTTTATGGCCCCCACTTTTACAGAACACTTTTCTGCTTTTGTAACGCCTGATATGTGTGCCAGAGCAGGTGTGGAATAGGCTTCCTCTAGAACTCGAAAAAATCTACCAGGTGTTGTGTGTCCTTCCTTGTTATGGGAGGTGCAAAAATTTGTTCTTTACTTTGGATGAGATGTCTAGCACGTCCCTGACAACCTTAAAAATTTTACTGATTTACTTTGCCATTGAATCTTTGTACAATGTTATGTCCCACTCTCTGGAGTATAATTGTTATATCAAGGCTCCTCCAATGTGCTAGCTACTTGCTTGCTTAACCCAGCCCAATTATTGTGATGTCAGTTAGCATGGTGAATTAATAAGATGTTCTGAGAATGTCTTATGGTACAGATAATGCTATAATACAGTGTAGGAGAGTTCGCACTGCCTTGAAGCAAAACTAAATGTATACTGTTGTCAGTTCTGTGTAACTGTGAATTGTCTGATCCTCTTTGCTGATAGGGATAGAAAAGTATGTATCTGCCAAATCATTGGCCATGTACCATGATGTTGGGAGATATTTACATTGGTTGATTTTGAGGTAGTTATCCTCCAGATTTGTCTGGTTTCTGAAAAATCCAGACTGATGAAAATGATGGGTAAAACCACCCCTGCATTCTTTCGATCTGGAGTCAGTAAACTTATAGCTCATGGGATAGAGACCTGTTTTTAAAGTTTAATTGATACACAGCCATGCCCATTTATTTATATATTATCTATCGCTGCATTTGTACTATAATGGCAGAGCTGAATGGTTGTAACAGAGACTGGCCTATAAACCTAAAATACTTACTGTCTGGCCCTTTAAGGAAAAATTTGCTGATCTTTGCTTTAGAGCTTTAAGAATAGCCCTAATTTTCGCCATCCCACTTGATTTACTAACTATATTGAGTTAGAGAGGGGCTATTTCAAAGACTTCTATTTAGATTTCCCCACTGTAATAGCCCTTATTGTATAGACCAAGTGCCCAATATGATAATAATGGTGATGATAAAAAGTACAAGGTTGTCATCCATTGGTCTTAACTGGATCCTTTTCACATGTGGTTTCTGTCATCTAGTCCATGCTTATGTCTCAGTCCTCTAATGGGTTCAGCTCTATCTTCCCTTCCATAATGGTCTGGAATACTATTTATTCCATTTATGCCTTGCTGAATTTTCTTCTTTCCTCTGGTGTCAGCTTAGTATCACCTTTACAGAAAGTTTACTTGTTGCAGTACCACTTCTGGCCATTCTTCTTCTGTCCCTCACCATCTTCCTGTCCTTTCTGTTTCTCTTACAAAGGGGTGGGCAAAGTATGTTAATAATAATTAATAATACAAGGATAACTTGTAATATTATATATTATAATAATATATATTATTATATATTAAACTGTTTCACGTACTTAGAATTGCACACCTACTTTTGCCCACTTCTGTATACTCTTAAAATATACAAGACTTTTCTTTCCCTTACATTTATCATAGTTTTTTAAGTATATTTTATTGATTGTGCTATTACAGTTGTCCCAGTTTTTTCCCCCTTTGCCCACCTCTGCCCAGCACTCTCCTTCCCTCCGCAATCATCCCCCTTAGTTCATTTCCATGGGTTGTGCATATAAGGTCTTTGGCTTCTGCATTTTTTGTACTATTCTTAACCTCCCCCTGTCTATTTTTAGCTACCAATTATGCTTTTTAATCCCTGTACCTTTTCCCTATTCTCCCTGTCCCCCTCTCCACTAATAGCCCTCCAAATGATCTCCAAATCTATGATTCTGTTCTTGTTCTAGTTGTTTGCTTAGTTTGTTTTTGTTTTTTAGATTCAGTTGTGGATAGCTGTGAGTTTGTTGTCATTTTAATGTTCATATTTTGATCTTTTTCTTAAATAAATGCCTTTAACATTTCATATAATAATGGCTTGGTGATGATGACCACCTTTAGCTTTACCTTGTCTGGGAAGTACTTTATCTGCCCTGCCATTCTAAATGATAGCTTTTCTGGATAAAATAATCTTGGTTGTAAGTCCTCACTTTTCATCACTTTAAATACTTCTTGCCAGTCCCTTCTTGTCTGCAAAGTTTCTTTTGAGAAATCAGCTGACAGTTTTATGGGCACTCCTTCGTAGGTAACTCTCTGCTTTTCTCTTGCTGTTTTTAAGATTCTCTCTTTAACTGTTGGCATTTTAAGTATGATGTGTCTTCGTGTGGTCCTTTTTGCCTCCAACTTACTTGGAACTCTCTGTGCTTCCTGGACTTCTATGTTGATTTCCTTTGCCAAGTTAGGGAAGTTTTCCTTCATTATTTTTTGAAATAAAGTTTCAACTTCTAGCTATTCTTCTTGTTCTGGCATCCCTGTGACTTGTAAGTTGGCACTTTTGGAGATGTCCTAGAGTCTTCTTATTCTCTCCCTGTGTTTTTGAATTCTTGTTTCTTCATTCTGTTCTGGCTGATTGTTTATTTCTTCTTTATGTTCCAAATTGTTGATTTGAACCCTGACTTCCTTCTGTTCACTGTTGGTTCCCTGTGGATTTTTCTTTATTTCACTTAGTGTAGCCTTCATTTCTTCTTTTATATGTTTACTGTGTTCAATGAATTCTCTCAGCATTCTTATCACAAGTGTTTTGAACTCTGCATCTGATAGGTTGACTGTCTCCATTTCAGTTAGTTCTTTTTCTGGGGTTTTGTCCCCTTTTTTCATTTGAGCAATATTTCTTTGTCTCCTCTATTTGGCAGCCTCCTTGTGTTTGTTTCCATGTATTAGGTAGAACTTTGATTTCCTGTCTTAGGGTACAAGTTAAGTTGTATTGGGTGGAGCCTTAGGTATTCTCCAGGGTAGGGCAACCTGTTTCTCCACTTTGTGGCTCTGTATGTCGGGAAAGGGTTAGAGAGGCAACAGTGCTACTGTCTGGCTGCTGGAAGCTTGCTTGGTACTCACCCCATTTCCACTCTCTTCACCCCCTTCTTGTATGAGACTGCCGTCCCTCCTGCTGCTGCCCTGTTGGTGGTTCCCATAGTGTGTGGGCCTGCCTACTTTTTAGGACTTTGTGGGCCCTTTAATGGACTCTCCTGAGAGACTGGCAGTTTCTTCCGCTGCCTCAACCCCCACTAGTTTTTACAGCCAGAAGTTATGAGGCTTTATTTCCTAGTAAATAAAGCTGGACGGTCTGGTCTGGGGCTGGGCAGTCTGGCCTGGGGCTGGGATCCCTCCCTCCCAAGATACCCCTCCCAATTTTTATCCACCACAGGTGAATGTGAGACCACCTGTTCCACCAATGGCACTGTCACCTCACTGCCACCATACTGCCCTGGCTCCCCGTCTCTGCCCCCTCCTACCTGTCTGGATTACTATGTCTTCAAATCCTTGGTTGTCAGACTTCCATACAGTTCAATTTTCTGGCAGTTCTGGGTGTTACTTTGTTTTGAGCTTAGGTGTGATTCTTCTTATGGTTGTACATGGAAGCAAACAATGTCTACCTATGCCTCCATCTTGGCTGGAAGTCCCCCACATTTATCACAACTGAAATTTGTTATTCTGTAATTACTTGCTTAATGTTGGCATTCTTAGAAGATCATTTCTATGAGGACTTGCAATGATCCTATCTGTTGAATTTACATCTGTATTCTTAGCACCTACCACCTTCTCCAGCACATAGTAGGTGCTCAATGAACATTTGCTGACTTAATGAGTACCCTGTTTTCATTTCCCAACTAGTTACTGAGTTACAACAACTCATTCAGCAACTTTAATACTGAGATTTATGAACACATTTTTAATTTTACTTATTATTTACTTATTACTAATTTTACTTATTATTACTTATATTATAAGTACTATTGCACTTATATATATATTTTTTTCTATTAGACTATGAGTTTCTCAGAGGTACAATTTATGTTTTATACATCTTATTTTATTCCAAAGCCTAACAGAGTGCTTGACACTGGAAATTTTGTTCAATGAATGCTTATCAGTGAAAATGTTTTAAAAGTATGATTAACAAATGTTAAGTTTTACAGGTATAAGAATTTAAACTGGAATCACCAGGAAATGCTATCAGCTTAAATTACATGCTAAGTGGGAGGCAATATATGATGTTCATTTGCAATTTGGTAGTATGGGAAATAGGTAAATTAGCATATATTAATACAAAAATGAATTATTAAACTGATGGTGAACATTTCAACATATTTTGATTGGTCCTTTTTTGTTTTTTAATTAATTGCTTTTTTTGAGAAAATTTAGAAAATTTTTTATACTGCTCTTCCAATATTATGTGAACTTTTTTCTCATTAAATTTTTTATAACATGATTTTAATAGCAACATAGCTTTTTACCTTATAAGTTTACCATGATTTTTCAATAATGATTTTGTTGAAAATTTCTGTAGAAAATTTTTTAATGTGTGTAGTATTCAGTGAACATTCTGCAAAAAATTATGTGTTCATATCTGCTTTTCCCTTAAAATTTTAAAAGTAGAATTACTGGGTTAAGGTATAAGAACATTTGTAATACTGTTGATGTTACTGAAGTATTACTTATTGCCCTCCAAAAGTCACAAAAATACTGTGCCTATTAACATTCCTAGCAGTAATGAGAGTGTGAATTTCAGCTTACCCTTTCCTGCACTATGTATAATTAAAAAAGACTTTGTCACTGTGAGATAAAAATGTGATAATTTTACCTTATTTGATTATTAGTGAAATTGCATCATATTTTTCATGTTTCTTGATCATTTGTATTTCTTCTGAAAATTGTATCCTTCACATACTTTTCTGTTAGGATGTTTTAATTGGTATTAGTACTTTAATTTTAAGTTCTCGCATAGTAGAACCTGTTTCATTTTTGTAAGTGGTATTATCTTCTATAAAAATTTTTAAAAGAACATTTATTTTGTAAACTAGGAGCCTTTTGTGGCAGATGAGTATATTGAACGTCTTGTATGGAGAACCCCAGGAGGAGGCTCTAGAGGGGGATCTGAAGCTTTTGATCCTAAAAGGTGAAGTAAATTTTTTTCATAGACCTGATCTAGTACAAATTTGTGTTTGAGATAAATGTGACTGTTGGAATTTCTTTTAACGTTCATGTAAAGGGATATCAGTTAATAGTTGGTCATTAAAAGACATAAACATTAGAAGTTGGGCACTGATTTTTTTCCCCCTTTACATTCCTTTTATTTTAGAGGATTTTAACTGGTATGAGAGAAAGGATTTTGTTACAATGTAAGAATTTAATATTTTCTTCAATTAGTAATAAATTAGAGTTGGTAATAAAAACATGTCAAATGTATTGTTTTTAGCTATAAATTGGGGGAAGAGAAAGTCAATGTATCCTGGAATGCACAATATTATTTTTATATAGTACATTTACCTTTTGACTGTTTCTTTGAAACTGGTTTTGTTTTGGAGGTTAATGGAGATTCTAGGTGAGGTTTTTATTTATGGCTGAGATGATCCCAACAAGATGCTATAGAGAAGATTAACATGATCATTCTATTAATACTTAATTTACAACTATAAATGAATTGGTTAGTTCCTAAAATTAATCATAGGTGGGTTTATACATATTCTCCTTTTTCTCTATTAGGTTATTAGAAGAATTTGTAAATCATATTCAAGAACTACAGATAATGGATGAAAGAATTCAAAGGAAAGTAGAGAAACTAGAGCAACAGTGTCAGAAAGAAGCCAAGGAATTTGCCAAGAAGGTGCAAGAGCTCCAGAAAAGCAATCAGGTAAATATTTAGTTAAACAATGAATAGTTTATATAGCTATAATATCTTTATTTCCTTCTAGCTTTAAGTTCTTAATAAAAATCTAGTCAAATTATAACAACTATTGAATTTCTCTCTAGTGCTCCCATGCCATTGGATAAAATTTTAGTGAATTGTTATTAGACACTCTTGGCAGTGGCTAACTGCTAAGTGTTGTTTTGGGATCACAGCACTCCCTTCTAGGATGGGGTGCTATCCAGTACAGTGTGGTCTTTGCTTCCCCTCTAACAGTGCAGTGTTTTGGGAATGATGTTTCAGCAGACCTGTATCTTTGGGGGTTCATTGTTAGGTTGGACATTTAGGTAGTGATTTGCATTCTTATTTAATCATCAAAGTAGTACCAGACTAACTGTTGCCTGGATGAGGTTTTTCTCTAGGGGGACCCTGGTGTGGGAAGTTTCACCAAAGTCATCAGGTGTATCCTAATAAGAATTATAATGTAACTATGGGAAAAGTAGGTGCAGAATTCTTCCTCAGTCCATGTTGGATTAAAAACAAATTACTGGACTGGTCCTAGAGCTAAATAGACCAATCTTCTTAGGCCCTACACTTAATCTGGAACCTCCCAATGCCTTTCACAACCTCGGCCTGATCTAGAACTTGATTTCCCTTTATTAGTGTATTAGTTTGAGGAACGTTGTTTAGCTCTGCTGCCTCCCGGAGACTGTTCTTTGATGTTAGAAATGAACAAACTGATCTCTGCTCCGATTTCATTAATTTAGAGTCCTTCACATAAAGATATTTGCGAGAAAATATTTAATAAAAAAGTCAGTAAATTGCATAAGATAGAAAAATTTTTTAAATAGTTAAGGTGATAGATTCCAAATACTTCTAAGGCAGTTTTCCCTTGGTAATAATAATAGTATTAATAGTTAATCTAACAAGTTCTAAAGCTAATGTGCTGTGCCAAATATTAGCTGTATAAACTGAAGCAACTCAATCTTTCTTTGCCTCAGTTTTTTCATCTACATATGAAATAGGTTGTTGTAAGAATTAATTACAATAAACACATGTAATATGCTTAGAACAGTGTCTAGCACAGAGGAAGTCCTTTGTACGTGTTTGCAGCTTTCCTCCCTCAATTTAAGGTTAGAACAAAAGTATCATACTGAATTATCAGCAATTTTGTTATTGGCAGTTCTAAGGCATTCATGCTACATAGTTTTTATCTTCCACAGGACAGTCAGTGTACCCTGGGAAAAGGGATATTCTAGGAAGTAATGTACCTTAGCATAAGTAGAATAATTATCTTTTCCAGTTTCAAAACTGGGCAAAAAATATTTTACCTTGTTTATGATACTGACATTGCTCTTAAGATATTTAAAGTAAAGATATGTTAAATATTCTTTTTAATCAGTGTCTCTTCTAACATTTTTATGACTCATGTTAGTGTAGTAGCAAGTGAGTTGTTCAGTTAACTGGTCTCTTTGATACTTAGTTCATTGTTATCAGAATTGTTTCCAAGTTAGTGGTACTGGGAACTTTGGTTTGCTATCTTGTTGATTAGCAAATATATTCATGATAAAATATGATTTTAATAGTTAAAAGTATAAAAGTCTGCAACTTTTAAAAGTTTTTAGATTATGTACTGATCTAATGAGCATGAATTGTTTTTGTAGATCATCTCCTATATAACTTCTGTGTTATCTTTAGCTACATAAGTTTGAGAGTAGTGATGAGTTGGTGTGTTAGTTTTGATACAAATTATAAGCTAATTATGGGTGCTGTCATTGTATTATAAATAAAAATTGGGTTATGCCATTGTATTTTATGCGTATGCACATTTTTTTCCTAGGTTGCCTTCCAACATTTCCAAGAACTAGATGAACACATTAGCTATGTAGCAACCAAGGTCTGTCACCTTGGAGACCAGTTGGAAGGGGTAAACACACCCAGACAGCGAGCAGTAGAGGCTCAGAAATTGATGAAATACTTTAATGAGTTTCTGGATGGAGAATTGAAGTCTGATGTTTTTACAAATTCTGAAAAGGTGAGCACTGTCAGAAGGATAAAAGCAAACTACAGCATTAATAGCAATGTCCTAATTTAAACTGCAGTTATTACTTTCCAGAGAAGAACTTCAAATCACTGAGTAGCTGACTTCTTAAAAGTTGTTATTGTTCTAAAATGTAAGTTAGTGTATTTGCCTACAGATTGCTGATGAAGTATTTTTATTCTAATTATTAATTGGATTGCTTGGCATTTTTCTTTATGAAATTATGTGTGGTTTAGAAATGCTGAGCTAACTGTTGAACATTTTCTGTAACTGATTTTTAATATTAACAGAAGTTCTGTAGTTTTTGAATAGTTACATTTGGCTGGATGAGGGTTGTCTGACCTAAATCATTGATAAGTTGAAGTGGCATTTTTGTTGTTTTACTCACTTAGCTTAAAGTGGATATATGCAGCAGTATGATCTGAGTAATTTTCTTAAATCTTGTTTACCCTTTTTGGATTCATAAACTCAGAAGAAACTTACAATTCTGCTTTCAGTAAGCAGTGAGTTGAAATTTTTCAGAGTAAATGAACTGCAGGTTTCATTGGGAAGGTGATTGTACCATTATAAAATCATAAGATTTTGGTGCCAGAATGACAAATATATGCTTTATTAACTCATTGGTGATACCCTGGATGTATTCCTGTTGGTCAAAATATTTTATTTGTTGTGGATTTTAAAAGAAAATTGTTTGGGTGAGGGGTTGTGGGCATATATAGGAGAATATTATTATTTTCAAATATAAACTTATATATATAAGGGTTTTTAAAAAATTACTGCTTTTATTTTTTCACAGATAAAGGAGGCAGCAGACATCATTCAGAAGTTGCACCTAATCGCCCAAGAGTTACCTTTTGATAGGCAAGTTTATTTTTCAAGAGCTAATTTGAATATATGGTACAATGAATAGAATAAACTTATATTTTTCCCTGTATGATTTTGCTCATTAATTCAACAAGGATTTATAAATCCTTTGTACAAAGTATAGTATATTGTAGTTGAATGAAAAACTATGGTTCTAGTTTCTAAACCTAGTAATATACCTTGAAATAGTTTCAATCCTTTGTTTTCCTTCTGGGGAAAAAATGATGGGAGAGTTTTGAAATTTACTCAAGTGAGAGTTTGAATTTTAATTTTGTGGACTTTGACAACCAAGATGGGAGGAGATAGGGAGAGGTTAAGCATAGGACCATTCAGCTGCTTTTTTCTAATCTCTAGATGAAAGTTCTTAAGTTTTTTAAGACCTGAGGTACCTTTGGAAGCTGATGAGCCCTGGTCAGGTGACTCAGTTGGTTGAACATTTCTGTGCACTAAAAGGTTGTAGGTTTGATCCCTGGTCAGGGTGTGCATACCTAGGTTCAGGGTTCGATCCCCTGTTGGGGCACATATGAAAGAGACAGCTGAGCGATGTTCCTCACATTGATGTTTCTATCGCTACTCCATTCTTCCTCTCTCTCTAAAAATCATTAAACATATCCTTGGGTGAGGAGAAAATGAAATGTGAGGGTTCTTTGAAAGAAAAAAGAAAAGTGAATTGAAAGCTCTAAAGTTTCTTAAAAAAATTCAGATACACAGATGGTTGTATACAGTTTCATGGAATTTTATACTCACTAGCTTATTTGCAAACTCCTCTCTAGGGACTTCAGGTTAAGAACCCTTGCTTTAGTTACAAGGCCCTGGGGCCATTGCTAAGTCAGGTATTAATGGTTTTATCCTAAAAAAACTTCACTGAGACAAAAAATTTTTGCATGATTTCCTTTAGTCCATGGAATGTCACATACTTTAATAAAATATTGGTAGTGGTTTCCTCATGTGAATATCTTGAAAGAAATATGCCTTCCCACATGACAGACAATTTATCTGTTATTGGTAATATTAGAAGATCCTGTAGTACAGATAAAATGTAAATTTATTATTATACTTAAAGCTTGACTGTTATACCCCAAACATAGAGATTGAATACCCCAAACATACCCCAAAATACATCTTATTTTACTCTCAACTCTGTGTCTTCATAAAGTGTTAGCAATAATAGTCATCTATTACTTAGCTGTTACTAATAATCTCGTACTTGCCTAGCATGTTGAGTAATTGTTTTTAAAGTGACCCACAAAAACCTCTCTTTTAACTCTATGGCATTTCATAGTTGGGCCATTTACCTAAGTGGTAAAATGTGTGACTCATGATAGGTGCATAATAGTTGTTGGCTACCCCTTCCACCCTTCTCTCTCCCCTGCTTCCTCTATAAAACACACATGCATATACTCATCTTCTCCCACTTCTCAGTTATACAATCATATACTTCTTACAGTTTTGTTTTCGCCTCTGCTAAGCTGTAGGCTATACAATATAGCATAGGCATGTAGTAGGCCACACCATCTAGGTTTGTGTAAGTGCACTCTGTGATGTTCACACAGCAATGAAATTGCCTAATGGACCATTTTTCAGAATATATTCCTGTTAAGTGGCACATGACTCTATATCAGTTTTGGATAATTCTAAATTTTTATTACTTTTTTCATCTGTCTTTGGCATCTCTTCTGCCAGCCACGTTCTTCTCTCTTCAAACTGATTGTGTAGGATCTCTCAGCATCAATTTTGCATGATATGCATCCCTCTTGATATTTAAGATTTGAAAAAATTCTAGTCTGGTTTGTGTGATATTTAGTTTCTGAATTTGCAAAGATTGAATGATTACTCTGCACATTTCTGGGTCCTTTTTTATAGCTTCTGTACTAGTTTTAAAAGAATTAATTTGTATATACCATTTATTGTTTTTCTTTTAAATAATAATAATTGAACTTTATATGAAAATATCCTAACAGAGGGAGGAAATAGGCAAATAAAAAGTGAATTTAAAATGCAAGTGAATATGACTAGGGACAATAGCTCAGTTTTGGGGCTGACTGAATTGTTAATGCTTCATACAATTCTTCCTGCTTAAAAAGGGAATTGGTTATTCAATGTGAATTTCCTAAATGAGAACCAGCTACCCTATCTGAATTGCTGAAATTTAGTTTTGTCACCTGGTATGCTTTCTGTCAATACTCTCTGCCTTCTGGTTTTGGCTTTTTTTTTTTCCTTTTTTTTATGATGACATTTAATACAAAGCATTCCCATATATTTCTAAACTCAGTTTCCCCTTTTATTTATACTTTATATTATTCTGGTACATTTGTCACAACTAACAGATTTCATCATTGGTTTTTATCTTTCAGATTTTCAGATGTAAAATCCAAAATTGCAAGTAAGTGGGGTTCTATTTATTTAACTGTTTTGAACAAGTAATAAATAATTGTATAAGAGAAAAAATTAGTAAAAGGAGGGATAGTGGAAACAATGTCACCCTTCCCCCGTGTCCCTGAGTTTGATTGCTCTTCCTTGAAACAACCATTTCCAGTTTCTTTGGTATTCTCCCAGAGCATTTGAGTGTATAAACATAGAACATAAATCATGATACATGTGTAAAATTTAGTTCTACTATCCCCATTTATTTTAAAATAATTAGTAGCATACTATACAAATAACTTTCACCTTCCTTTTTTATTTTAACAATGTATTTTGGAGATTGTTTTATATTCATACATGTATCTCTAAAGTGGGTTCTTTTTTTAAAAGCTAAGCTCATGAGCATTGTGGTACCTATTTAATTCCTTATATGACTAGTTTGATTCTTACCAATCTTTGGATTATATTTTAGGCAGATCATTCTAGGTTTCTGGAACAGCCACTGTATTTGCAGGCTCTCATGATAGCCTGAATCACTGTTTGAGAGGCCATTTTGCATAGAAGGTGCAAAGAACTATTTTCCCAAAAAGTGTTGTTAGAAAAAGGTTGGCACTTGGACTTACCTGCAGTGTTTGTGATCACTATAGATTAGTCCAAAGTTCAATTATTCAGAACTATAATAACCTCAGGAATGTAGTGAATCAAATATCACATTTTATCTTAAGGTGAAATTTGGTGTTGAATCCACCATTGTTCAAGGTAAAGGCATCTGAACTCAAGTAAACATTTCTATAGTCTTCTTCTCCCTTCCTGTGGTTTTTAAGATTTTCCCTATCTCTTGCTCTCAGAGATTCCATCTGGGAGGTATTTCTCAGTCAGATGCTTTTAAAGTAATAGTGGTAAATAACAGTCAAACTATGAGAACTCAGCTGTTTTATTAGCTTAGGAAGATTTTGTGCCTTAAAAATACAGATTTATATACCACAGTATATTGTAGGGTCTAGATTCTGCTGCCTGTAATCTCATATTATTTTGTAGTTCTTTCAAAAAAATGATAGATCTGTAGTCATTATATTTATAAATAATTCATATACTGGCAAATAACTTAGATACTGTGTCTGTCTCATTGTAACTGAGTGACTTTCTTTTTTATATTTAGGTAAATACCATGATTTGGAATGCCAACTGATTCAGGAGTTTACTAGTGCTCAAAGAAGAGGTGAAATCTCCAGAATGAGAGAAGTAGCAGCAGTTTTACTTCATTTTAAGGTAAATAGTAAAAATTAAAAATGAAGATTAGTCTTTGAAACTATGGAGATTATATAAATTCTATATATTATAGTCTCTGATTTTCCCCTATTGTATGACTTCACAGTGATCACTTTTATTGTTTTGAATAATGTGAATATACATGTCATTATCTCTTTCCTTAAGTGACATTGAATTTTAGGTATTCAATATTTAAATAGGTATTTTATAGTTTATAACATTAATATATATATTTGATATCAGTATATATCAAGCTATATATGAATTTTTATATAGTTTGACATAGAAAATCATATTGTTTGCCTTCTTGGTTTATAATGTATTTTTTTTCAGTCAGGCATGATATGAAATAGGTCAAAAGCAAGAAGACTTGACCTTAAGTATCTGGTGGAATATAGGAACCATGGAATAGATGGAATATGACTAGTAAAAGACTTAAATTAAATCAGAGGATCTCAGGTGATACTACAAAGGAATATTCTATTATGGAACTGTCTTCCTATAATTTGAATTAGGAAGAGAATTCCTATATGGGAATGCATTTCTGTAAACAAAATGCTTAAAGAAATAGTGCTTCCTTCAGTCTGTTTCTTTACATTCATATCAGATTAGGGAAATATAAGCCATTTGTTGGACTTTTCATTTAAGTACCATATCTAAGTATTAAGAATGACTCTTGATTTTGCAGAACTGGTGGGAAAAGGTGAAGGGATTAAGCAAAAAGCAAAAATAAAAAAAAAATTAAAAAAACTCATAGACACAGACAACAGATGGTGATTACCAGAGAGAAGGGAGGTAGGGGGAGGTAGAAGAAGTTATAGGGGGATAAATAGTGATGGGAGGAGACTTGACTTAGGGAGATGATGGAATTGTACACCTGAAACCTACAGAATTTTATTACCCAGTGTCACCCCAATAATTCAATTAAAAAAGAAAGAATGGCTCCTGAGACAATACTTTCTGTTGCTTACCTTACTTGTTTATATGTATAATTCACTAAAAAGCAAAAATCTCATACTGAGCTTAATATGACAAATTGTTTTATTTAAACACATTTTATTCATGTCCTGGCTGGTGTGGCTCAGTTGGTCAGACCATTCTCCTGTGGGCCAAAAGGTCTCATATCCAGTTAGGGTGTTTATGGGAAGGCAACCAATCAGTGTTTCTCTCTCTCTCTCTCTCTCTCTCTCTCTCTCTCTCTCTCTCTCTCTCTCTGCCCCCCTCACTCCCCACTTCTCTCTCTCTAAAAGCAATGAAAAAATATATGTCCTCGGGTAAGAAGGAAAAAATATACTAAACACATTCTATTAAATGGATCTAATTTTTAAAGTAAATTTCCAGAATGTCAGTTAAATACAACTGTGTCTGCTTTGAATTCAAGACAAGAAAGGTAGATACATAAAACCTTCTCAAGACCTTCAGTCTGTGAGTGTGTGTGATCGTGTGAATGTTTTAGATTTGAAGGAGAACTAGGTGGTGACTGGGTAAAATGACTATAAAGAACCAGTTATACCTCCGTTTTCTTCTTTCAAGCCCAATAACTATTGGTCACTCCTTAGGACATAGTCATAGCTTTATTACATACAGGTTGGGACAAAAGTAGATTTACAGTTATATGGAAAATACTAACAAATAATAATACAAGAATAAACTCTGTTTCAGGTACTCACAGCATAAACAACTTTTGCCCCACCCTGTATAATACCTGTTTTATTGAGATTATTATTATGATTTAACCGGAACAGTGATAACGTATTTCTTTCTTCTTCATAGGGTTATTCCCATTGTGTTGATGTTTATATAAAGCAGTGCCAGGAGGTAACATTACAGCACACTTTATTGGATTTCACTTTATTTTATGTTAATTTGTGTTTTAAAAGCCATTTAAAAATTATGTATTCACTATGTAAAATGCCTCTGCTATTTAGGGTGCTTATTTGAGAAATGATATATTTGAAGATGCAGCAGTACTCTGTCAACGGGTGAACAAACAAGTTGGAGATATCTTTAGTAATCCAGAGACAGTACTGGCTAAACTTATTCAAAATGTATTTGAAATCAAATTACAGGTAATTTTAAATAATGACTAAGTAGTTCTTAAAGCAATGTATGATTTCTCTATGTTTTAAAAGTTTTTTAAAAATTATCTTACTATGTAATGCCCATAAGTAGTAATCTGCCTATTCAGTGAAGGGGAAAGGAAAGACAGCCTCATGCTTTTTAAAAAATATTTTGTTGGAAAAAATATGCTAAACACTAAGTGTCATCAGAGCACATGTTTTAATTTTGTTTACCAGTAGTAGCAGTAAGCAACAGGTTATAGAAGGGTACCCTTAGATTTTTATTTTTGGGGGGTCCTCACCTTGACCAGTAGATGGCATTTGTGAAATTGAACAAGAATTACAAATGCAGTCTGTAAAATTTTTGTAATAGGGTACTAACTGAAAGGAAAAAAACACAGGAATTTAATTTGCAGCTTTTACTCTCAGCACTATACTTTAAAGCAACATTTCTTAAACTATGTTTACCACTGGATTAAGAAACATTAAATAAGTGTTTTTAAAACACAAATCAAGTTCTTAAATAGCCTTTAAAGGTACTAATGTGTATGTGGTTCTCTGGAAGTGGTGGTGTAATGTATAACATTTCCCAACTTCAGAGTAATGCCTGTCGATGTCTCAGTGGACACTAATGCTACCAAGACCGTAGTTTGGTAAATGCTGCTTTCAGGAATTGACTGCATTGGTATAATGGGGCTTTGTTCTGGGGTTTTTGTTGTTATTTTTTAAAAATGTACTTAATGAGTCAGGCCATTTTTTTAAAAAAAGGATATTTTGAAATTCTTAATACTTATTCCCAAGCCTGTATAGGTGGGCTAGTAAATATAGTGGTAAAATTTTAAACCTTTTTTCTTACATTTTTATGTTGGCCTATTTTCTGTGCGTTGTCTTTTCCATTGAATTGTAAGTCAAAACATTTGAAGAATGTGAAGTTAATTTCAGACAAAAATACATCTTGACTATGTAATTTAGTATTTACTTAATTGACAAAATGTTGCCTTTTTTTTTTTTTAGAGTTTTGTGAAAGACCAGTTAGAAGAATGTAGGAAGTCTGATGCAGAGCAGTATCTCAAAAATCTCTATGACTTATATACAAGGTATATTTTTAATTATTAGAAAATAATAACAGATCTTAGATTTTGTTTTTTGGAAAATGGGGGAGTTTTCAGGTATTTTTGAATAACTGGTAGCAACATGCATGCCTTTTAGCATTAAATGCTTGGCTATATAGACTAGTGTTCTGTAGTATTCTTAGTATATTAAGTGATTGGATATTATGCTTTATATTAATGTACTTGAATGAAACAAAGCTTTATTTACCTTCTTTAAACTAAGACTTGAGAATTTTGTTTCTGATTTGAATTGTAAGCTAGTTTATTATTCTTTAATTTTTTTCTCCAAGAAGTAGTATAATTACATTTATCTGTAGTTAAAACTTTAGAAATTGAGAAAGTGACAAATTCTTTAAAAATGACAATTTCAATCTTAAGTCTCATGTGAGAATTTGTCCTTTATTTTTGTAAACAGCAATATTAAAAACTTAGACATGTTATATCAGAAGCTTCATAGAGAGTTTTTACCCAACCCTATTGCTTACTCTTCAGTGTCATCCTTTTGGGAGGAGAGTTTTAAAAAGTATCCATAATCGAACTGAAAGTTTCTATCAGTAACAACATTATTATGAGCCTATCTTCAACAATGAGAAACAAAATTAGAGTAAAGTTCACATGGATAAACGTAAAATAGAATGATCAGAGAGTAGACCTCTCAGTATTCTGGCTTGTGTACCATGCCGTGCGCGAATGGCATTAGAGCACACTTGAAGCCATGTACCACTGGTTGCCGTTTCTAGACTTTTGGTTTCCTTGGTTTCTTCTGCTGGTCACCCCTTGGAGTTCATGGCAGCTTTCAAAGTCGTAATGTTCACTTGAAACCTATAATCACATTAACCAGTTTAACTTCAATAATTTAATAAAAACTGCAAAAAAAGAAAATAAAACAAACAAAAAAACCCCATAATGTTGTTTGTAATATTCATTCTATTTTATATAACTCTATACAGCTTTTCTCTGCTTCCTGATAAGTACCTTACCAAATTTTAAGAATGGTGGTATAACATAAGTTATTAAAGTCACATTGTTAAAATATATATTCCTTATTATTGTTACTATACCTAAAATATATATTGATCTTTTTTCCTTCTCTTCCATGAAAAGAACCACGAATCTTTCCAGCAAGTTGATGGAGTTTAACTTAGGCACTGATAAACAGACTTTCTTGACTAAGCTTATCAAATCCATTTTCATTTCCTATTTGGAGAACTATATTGAGGTGGAGACTGGATATTTGAAAAGCAGAAGTGCAATGATCCTACAGCGCTATTATGATTCAAAAAACCATCAAAAGAGATCCATTGGAACAGGAGGGTGAGTGTTTCTGTTAAGTATTATATAATAAGACTAAATATATTAAGAACTTTATTAACAAACTTGCACAAACTTGTCAAATATTGAGCCATTGGAATTTTCTATGAAAAACTCTTTCAACCCAGTTTGTTTATACTATTGATCAAATCCTGTCTCTTGAACCACCTGTTGAAAATGCCCTAACATAATATGATTAAAATGTAAAGCAGAATACCAGCACTATATAGAGCTCTCTAGGTTCTGTTTTATTTTCAAACTCAGTAAAGTGTTCCAGGCTGTTAACTAGGAGGCACGTGTGTTTTTTTTGTTGATTGTTGTAGGTGTGAAAAACAAAGAAACCCTAAACTTTTTAATGACTTGCACATAAAATTAATTGATACCTTAAAACTTGTGATTGTTCACACGCTTGAAGAAAGTGATTTGCTATAAATCACTTTGTGATTTATAGGGCTGGCACCTCACTAATCCAGACTGCAACTATCTAGAACCCCAGTTGAGTCTAGGAGGAAGCAGAATGACTTCTCTGGAATCTTATAATCAGGGTTCAGAGTCCAATTATGTAAACACCCTATTCAGTTTCTTACTTCCCAGTTTGTTGAATGTTAAATAATGATCAGGGAGAGGTTAAAATTAGGAATAAAAATTGACATCTGAAAGAAGTAGCTCTGAAAGAAGTAGCTACATCTAAAAGTAGCTTTACTTTTATTTAGAAGTAAATAAAGGAAGAGAAAAACTAAAGAACAGTCATAAAAATTAAAGAAGAGCTATATGTTCTTAACTATCTGGAGCTGTATGTTCTAGGAGCAAAAAAAAAAAAAGTCTAACCTTCTGATGATACCACCATATAATGTTTAAAGTGATCCTTAGTTATTAAGAAAAGCTAAATCATGTTTAATATATCTTGTTTAATAATGAAGAAATGTGCAATATATTTGTTGAGATTATTATAACTGTTGTGTTTAAATGGTTAAATATATTTTAAAAAGATAAAAATTTTAAAGTTTATTTTAAGCAGGACCATTTAGTAATGTGGAATATTACCTTATTTGTAATAGCCCACTTCCTATAAAACTGAACAAAGAGTTTTAGGTTACTGAGTCAGAATCGTAGAGCTTAAATAGAGATCATAACTCCAGATCTCCTAATTTTTCAGAGACAGTCTTCTGAGTTTAGAGATTTAAAGCTTACCTTTCTTTACAGAACTAATTACTGGAATTAGAACTTTTAGGCCCCCTGGCTATTGGTCAGTTTTTTTGTTGTTGATATATACTAAGCTTGGGTATTTAAAGTTGAAATCTGTGTATACTGAAGTGTTCTTTTTTAATTTATTGATATGATGCTCTAGTATTCAAGATTTGAAAGAGAGAATTAGACAACGTACCAACTTACCATTGGGGCCAAGTATCGATACTCATGGGGAAACTTTCCTATCCCAAGAAGTGGTGGTTAATCTTCTACAAGAAACCAAACAAGCTTTTGAAAGATGTCATAGGGTAAGAGTAATTATAAATTTATTTTATTTATATATAATTGTATATTTTAAGTTTTGCCTTGTTTATACTAACATACAGATCTGCTCTCTCGTTAGGAACAACTTTTTATAATAGAAATATACAGGACTTTTGTTTTAGAGGACTAAATTACTTTGAAATGATTTAGAAGTACATTTGTAAAAATGTTATGGTATCATACACCAGGGTGGGTGGATGGGCATATTTGATACAGTAATATCTCTAATTTGCTGAATGCTGAAGATATGTTAAAACATTTCTAAAGCCTCAGATCATCCTACATGTAGCTGTCAACATTATACAGGGTGGGGCACAAGTAGTGAGGCCTAGATCTTCAAAGCTAAATAGGATATCTTTAAGAAGATGATTCTGGCCGGCTGTTTCAGGCAGAGAAAATAGTACAAAGACATATAAAGATCAATCATGCAGCATAAAATGCTTGAAATTAAAATGTACGTGGGAAGAGGAATACAAGGAGGTTGAAAAGGTAGGGAAAAACTCTTTGTATACTAAGCTTAGAAACTTGGACTTGACCTCGTAGTTGATGATGGCAGCTTTAAAGGATATTAAACAAGGGCAGCGTAATGAATAAGCAGATTGATTTTTATTTCCTTATTTAAAAATAACTGAGATATATTAATAATTGACATTCAATAAACTGTATATTAAAACAATTTAACTTTGATAAATTATGTGTACATTTTTGAAGCTATAACTGCAGTCAGGATAATAAGATTCATCACACCAAAAAGTTCACTGTTGCTCTTTTATTGATATAAGCTCTTGTTCCCCTCTCTCCACTTCTGTCCTCAGGCAACCTCAGATTCATTATATGTCACTATAGATTAGATTTGTAAAAGAAGGCGACATATGAGGACTAAGTTTTAGAAGCTAAATAGGATGTCTTCAAGGAGTTGATTAATTTTCTAGAATTATTTTTATAGGAGCAATTGTAGTATATTATAATTATAGTATGTACATGTGATTATGGCCTCTTTCACTCAGTATAGTTATTTTGGGGTTCATCCATGTTGTGTGTATTAATTAGTGTGTTCTTTTTCATTGCTGAGTACTATTTTATTGCATGAATATACCACATTTTATCCATTTACCTATTGATGGTTTAGATTGGTTCCAGTGTTTTGACTATTATGGATGAATTTGCTATGAAAATTCATTCATATGTCTCTGTGCAGATAATGCTTTAGTTGCTCTTTGGTATATACGTAGTAACAATATGGTAGTAGTCATTCAGACACTACCTATTTTCCAAAGTTGTTTCAGCATTCCTACAAGTGGTGTGTGAGTGTTCCATTTGTTCCACATGATCTGCAGCGTTTAGTATGATGAGTCTTTTTACTTTTAGACAATCTAATAGGGTGTGTAGTGATACCTCATTATGGTTTTATTTTGAATTTCTTAATAACTAATGATGTTGACATCTTTCCATCCATATATATATTCTTTGGTATATTTTTGTACATTTTTGAAATTGGGTTGTCACTATTTTTTAATAGTTCTGTATTCTTTATGGCTTATTAAGGGTATCTGTTGTAGAGCATCTGTGAGCAAATAAGGGAGGTGAGAGCTGTGGTATGGAGGGTAAAAGTTGGATGGTATTAAAGAAGACCCTGAGTGGAATTGAGTAATACCAAATCTGTATTTATAATCAGTGGAGACTTAGGGGATTTAAGGTGGGTTATATACTTCACTCCCAGCTGTAGATATCAGGTAATAAGCATTCCTCTGACAGGGTGCATGAATAGAGACTACAAGTAGGTAATGATCAATTGATAAATAATGAAGGAAGCATTTATAAGAAGTTGCGAGGTAACTTTCTAACTTTTTAAGAGGGATTTAATTTTTTCAGCTAACTACTAATAATTCTTTTACTGAAATAGTTAATCAGCATCAACATCAAAATGAACATTTATTATTGTTTGCTTACTATGTGCTAAACACTGCTGAAGGTACTTTAAATTCATTTTCATATTTTATTCTCACCTCAAGGCTAGGATATAAATACAATTCATATTATTCCCACCTTACAAATGAAGAAATTGAGGCTTTGTGGAGTTAAATAACATCTCAAGTGTTCACTCAACCAGGAAGTGATGAGGCTGGGATTTGAGCCTTTCATATTTTATAGTGCATCAGTTTACTGATTTCTCTAATCCACCCCCAGTAAAATAAAGAATATTTTTTTTTATTTTGAGTATTGCTAGAATAGCTTTTGTTCACTTGGTAGTTTTCAAACTTCTTTGATTATGCCCCACAATAAGAAATGCACTTTATGTGGCAGCCCAGTGTACATTTTATTTTTGAGATTTTGTTTATTTTTGAGAGGGGGGAAGGAGGGAGAATGAGAGGGAGAGAAACATCCACGTGCAAGAGAAACACTGATCAATTGCCTCTCGCACACACCCAACCAGGACCTGGTCTGTAAGCCAAGGCATGTGCCCTGACTGGGAATTGAACTGGTGACCTTTTGCTTTGTGGGTTGGCGCCCATCCCACTGAGCCACACCAGTCAGGGCAGCCCAGTGTACTTTTGTTATATGTATATGTGTTCATGTATATTTCATGAAACTGTATTTGGTTTTACTGTTAAAAGGGATTTTATTACACTTTATTTTCTGTTGGTTATCTCTCTCAGGTCAAAAAAACACTGATCTAGTTTAAGCCAGGAGAGTTGTAGGTGAATATGGAGCATTATATGTATGTGAGAGAGGCACTGGAAGTGGGGAGGAAGAACTCTTAAGTTGTTATTTTGGTACCTTACTATTCACTACCACTTACACAAAGTTGATTGCTTAAAAAAAAGAGTTGCCCTTTTTTTTAAGGTAGACTTGTGATGTGATATATTTGGTTTTTGTTTTAAAGCTCTCTGATCCTTCTGATCTACCACGGAATGCCTTTAGAATTTTTACCATTCTTGTGGAATTTTTATGTATTGAGCATATTGATTATGCTTTGGAAACAGGACTTGCTGGTAAGTATATTTATCTGTGTTATAATTTCTGTTAAATTCCTTTGATCCTGCGTGGTTAAATGTGAATGTGTAATGTTTTATATATATTCAACTCTACATGTCAAGTTCAGTTCAGTGCAGTGAATGTATTCTGAGCTTTTGTAATGCAAGGATTTGTCAGATGCTGAAAGCTGTACATTAATAGGGTATTAATGACTTCTTCCCTAAATTCTAGGCCTATTAATCCAGTTGCCTCCTTGACCTCTCCACCTGTTCACTGTGCGTCTCAAATTTAACATATCCCAAATGAAACACTTTATCTTCCACCTAAACCTATTTCTCTCCTGTTCTTCCCGATGTCTTTAAAGGGCATTGCTATTTACCAGTTGTTCAAGTCCTGAATTCAGTGCGGATTTGCCACAGTTCCTCTTTTTCTTCAACCCTGATACACACTTCCAAACATAACTCAAATTCATCTACTTTTCTTCATCCCCACTGATGCCACTCTAATTTAAACACCATCTCTGTCTGCTCCTAACTGGTCTCCCTGTATTCTTGCCTCTCCAAATTACTGACTCCATGCGATAGTTATCTTTCTGTTTAAGACCCTTTAGTGGCTCCCTATTACTCTTACGGGGAAAATAACAACAAACTCTTTATAGAAGCATGGCTTTTTGATCCAGTTTCCTCATACGTATTCATCCTCATAGGCATTTCCCCTCGTTACCCTAGTGCTTCTGGCCTTTATTCTTTTTCTTCACTAAGGCTCTTGGCACTTGGCTTTTACCCATCCCCAATCCTTTTCCTTCAGCTCTTCTCATGTCTGGCTTTTCAATTTTCTTATCTCAACTAAGATCTCACCTTCTCATAGAGGCCTTTGCTGATCACCCTAGCTAAAGTAGCCCTCCTCTCCTAGCCTACTCATCATTTCATCACTGGGTTAGCTTTTTTCATAGCACTTATCACAGTGACATTTTCATCTTTTAATGTATACCTCCATTCACCAGAATTCATTCAGTACATACTTAAGTGCCTACTTCTGTACTCAAGGAGCTTACATTCTTATGGAAAAGGTAGACATATGACTAAGAAAAATAAAATTGAGTAAGGGATAGATAGAGAGTAGTAATGGGGAGGTGGGAAGGGATATTCAAGGGCAGAGAGCTTTTTTAGAAAGGATGTCTCTCTGAGGAGACATATACCAGAGAGCTAAATGAAGTTGAGGAGGAAACTGAGTATTTGGAGAAAGAGTATTTTAAGTACAGAGAACAGCATATAAGCTCTTGTGGATGGGAATCTTGTATGTGTTATTCACCACTATAGTCTAGCACCTAGAAAACACATAGCAGACACTCAAAAATATTTATTGACTGTTTATAACATTATTCCATAAAGTTTCTAACACTGAAGCAAGAATACCTATAATTTAGTAACCATGTGGTTTATTGTTACCCATTTTTTGTATAGTTGCTCTCATGATATGGATAAGCATTTGCATCCTTTTTGTTTGTTTAATTACAGCTGTCTCTTGACATCAAGTATTTTAATATTTACCTTTTGCAAATGACTTTAAAATGTGGTAATTTGTATTGGGATAATAATACCTTAGAGGTATAAAGATTTAAAAAGGTAATGAAAAAAGTAACATGAACTAAAATCCAGATAGTAGGAATGATTTGTTATTTAGCTAGTATGGAAACCTAGCCTCTTCATTTTAAAAGCAGTATTCACAATTTGGAAGGGCTGAGAAAATTTCCTGGTAGAATAAGAATGTCCCTTATATTCATAAATATTTTCCATGCATCTATTTAGTTATTACTTACTGATATTATTTCTAGTGATTATCTAAAATTCTGTCACATGTATATATTATAAAATTAACCATCTCTAATTAGACATATTGAACCTCTTCAGCAATTTATTAATATAAATAATGCAACAATGAAATTGTAGTACTTAATGTACTTTCCTTATTTTAAATTATTTTCTTTGGATAAAAATCCCAGAAATGAAATAACCAGATCAAAGTATGTACAAATTTTTAAAATCTTTATACATACAAACTGTTTTTCCCAAAGGGTTTTTCCCCCACTATTTTACACTGTTACAGTCAGATATGACTGTACCAGTGTTTCTGCACATTATTGAATATTCTTTTTAAAAATTTAATAATTTAGTGATTAAAATATATATACTTATTACCTTAATTTTCATGTCTTTCATTATTAACACAGATTAGTATTTTTCCTACATGTGTATTGACTTTTTTCTCTTGCATGTTTGTGTTGGAGCCTTTAATTTTCTTATAGACGGGTAAATTTTGTATTTTGTGGGAAAATAAAACACCTTTGATTTTCATTTTTAAAACTGAAAAAAGTCATTATCCTATAAAAAATTCTGGGTGTTAATTTTTTTTTCTTATTTGCTGTGAATATTTTTCTTAGTCTTTTATACCTTTTAGTTTTAACTAGAAACATAAGTATCTAGGATTAGGGGGACCTTAAGAGTTTACTATTACTCTGTTACACAAAAGACGGAATTGAAATTTGGAATGGTCAGCTGTATTTTGGGGGGACCAGAATGTGGAGTGGCTTAAATACCATACTGAAAATTAGGAATCTATTCTCTAAACAGTGAGAAGCATGAATATTTTTGAGGTAGTAGTGGGGAACATGGTGAGTGAAATGAGTAAGTTTAAGTATGTTGTTACAGCATAACAGATAAAGAGATTTGAACCAGGAAGCTAGTAAGAAAACTGTTTTAACTGTTCTCAGAAATAAAGAGGCCTGGCTATTAGAAAAATGGCAGACATATGTTCATGGCTCAAGTGAATCATTGGGCACAAGAGTGTGGGAAGAGGAAGGAGAAGGTACAGTTTAAGATGATACATTTATTGATCTACTTTTCAGTTTAGCTCAGCAAATAATGAAGAGTGAGTAAGTGGTGAAAATCTGGGCATGAAAACTTTGGGTGCATTTTGTTACTTGATGAACAAGTTTAATTTTACTGTTCTGCCTACAGAAATCATTGTTAATTTATTAAAACAGCAATTACTTCTGTTCATGTTGTATACATAAAACTATACTCATTTTTCTGTTGCCAAGGTGAACTTTTTAAAGTATGACTCTAACATATACTTGCCTTCCAACTTTAGGAATTCCCTCTTCAGATTCTCGGAACGCAAATCTCTATTTTCTGGATGTTGTGCAACAGGCCAATACTATTTTCCATCTTTTTGACAAGCAGTTTAATGACCACCTTATGCCACTAATAAGGTTAGTCAAATTTTTATTGGTATTTTAATAACTATTATAATATTCTACATACCTTTTTGTTAAATATTAAAAGGGGGAAGGGTTGTCAAGGAACATGTATGAAGGACACATGGACAAAGCCAAAAGAAGGTAGGATCGAGGGTGGAAGGTGGGGATGGCTGGGGTTGGGGGGACTGGTGGGGGGAAATGGAGACAACTGTACCTGAACAACAATAAAAATAAATAAATAAATAATTTTTTTAAAAAGTCATACATATTAATAATATAAAACAGGACAGGAAAGTGTGAAATAAAAAGTAAAGATTCTTTTCCTACTCCCTTGCCTCCTATTTTCTCTCATTTCTGTGGTATTAATTTTGGTTTATTTGAAAAGACTGAATCTGTCATCAACCTACATCTGATGTGAAAGAGGACCTCTAGCTTATAACCACTTTTTGTCATATAAGGACATCAATACAAATTTTTATGAGATTAATAGGATAGGTTTTGATGAGGCATTAAGTAAGGTTTGGTTTATATGTTCCTATCAATTTATGTGAACTTTTAAACCACATGAGGATTAAATTAGTGTATATGTTAACTTGCTTTATAAAACTATATGTGTAGTACTGTTGTTATTAAGAAGAATGTATGTAAGGTAAAATTTCAGACATTTTGCTAATAACATTGATATGCTAAGAAATTAGTCCAGAAATAGTCTCAAAGATAAAGATTACTTGTGATCTCAGAATCACTTGGAAAGGAAATTTGCTTTTTAAAGAGCTATAATGCCACATGGCAAAGAATTCATACACTATTAGGGAGCACATTCCTTATTTTGGGTGTTTTTGACATTTAGGTAACATCAGAAGGCAAATAGGACTGTCAGGTATTTTGTTTGTTTTTTAATGTAAGAAAGCTAAATACAACTGTCAGTCTCCAGATTTTAATTAGTGTAATTTACTGTGGTCTTAATAGTCTGTGACTTTTCTTACTATTATACCAGAAATTTAATTAACAAAGAAACCAAATCCAAAATTTCAAAATCACATTTTTATATTCTTAAGGGATATCTTCTCAGAGATAAAAGTAACATATCTAAATCTTCCTTTTCTTCATTAACTGGTTAAGTTTTACTAGTGTGACCATTATAATGAATACTAAGTACAGTTGACCCTTGAATAATGAGGGGGTTAGGGACACTATCCCCACCCTGCCCTACCCACCACTGCAGTCAAAAATCTGTGGATAACTTTTGACTCTCCAAAAACTTTACTAATAGCCTACTATTGACTGGAAGCCTTGCTGATAAGATAAATAGTAGATTAACACATATTTTGTATGTTATATGTATTATATACTAACATTACAGTAAGCTAAAGAAAATGTTATTAATATCATAAGGAAGAGAAAACACATATATAGTATTTACTGGGGGAAAAAAAAGTCCACTTATTAGTGGACCCACACATTTCAAACCTATGTTGTTCAAGGTCAACTATGATTATTTAACTACTTGTATTTTGTTCCATTTGTGAGCATATTAAAATAACGTGTGTGTTTATATAAATGTATATAGCAGTACACACATGAATATGAAAAACTTAGAATTGTAAGACTACTAATGGGATTTTTTTCTTTAAACATTCAATAGCTCTTCTCCTAAGTTATCTGAATGCCTTCAGAAGAAAAAAGAAATAATTGAACAAATGGAGATGAAGTTGGATACTGGCATTGATAGGCAAGTTGTTGGTTTTACTTTTCCTCTTACATTTTTAAAAATTATAAAAACAATTATAGCACCATAAAATGGTTTTCAGGGAAGAAAAACGTCTGTCTTCATTTTACCATTTGACTTTATTTTTACCTGTTGATATCATCCTTATTAGAATGTTATTTTTATTGGATTTGTAAGCTTATTATTTCTGGAAGTCAGTGTGTTTAGATTTACTTTTAAACCAGATTTAGTTTTAAAAAACATTTTTTTGTAATCAGCCCCTCCTCCACTTGTACACACATACTCTTCAAACTCCTTAAAAATGGTATGTAACAGAGGGTTTTATTTTCATTTAGAATTTTCAGGCTTACATCTGAAATGCTTTAAGTAAATACACGAATTTTCTGCTCTGGCTGGTGTGGCTTGGTTGGTTGGGCGTCCTCCCATGAACCAAAAGTTCGCAGGATTGATTCCCAGTCAGGGCGGGTGCCTGAGTTGTGCGTTTGATCCCTGGTCAAGGCACATGCAGGTGGCAGCTGATTGATGTTTCTCTCTTGTACTGACATTTCTCTCCCTCTCTTTCTCACCCCCTTCCTCTCTTTCTGTAATCAATATAAATAAGTAAATAAACACACACATTTTCTAAAGGTAACTTTTTTAAGTAAAGGCAAACTCTTACATTACATCAGAAGGCACTTACTTTATACTGTAAAGCAGTGGTTCTCTTTTTTCTTTTGAGGTGATAGTGGGCATGTATTTGTTGATGATTATGATGGCTACCATGTATCAAGTATTTGCTTTAGGCCAGGCATAGTGAAAAGATGTTTGCTTGTATTATTTTATTTATTAGGTAGGAAATATCTTTCCATTTTACAGATGAGGAAATGGAAGCTTAAAAAAATTAAGCAATTTGCTCAAGATCACTCAGTTAATGTTGGTAGAGCTGGGGCTCATTCTGATGCCCCTTTTACTAGGTCTGGGCATATCTTTCTCATTTGCTGTAATTCTACTTCTTTTCCATTCAAGGAAGCATATTTGAATGCAGGTTAGTTACTGTGCTGTTATAAAGAAAACTTGGAATCCACTCTGTTTTATTAAAAAGTAAATAACCCTGCCTGGCATGGCTCAGTGGATTCGGCATTAGCCTGCAAACTGAAAGGTCACCTTCAATTCCTGGTCAGGGCACATGCCTGGTTTGTGGGCCAGGTCCCCAGCTGGGGGTGTGCAAGAGACAACCAATCAATATTTGTCTCACACATTGATGTTTCTCTCCCTCTGTTTCTCTCTCTAAAATTACATAAAATTTATAAAAAATTATAAAGAAATAATTTTTACTTTATTAGTAGTTACAAACTTGTACCTCACCTCTCAGTTAACTTCCTACTAAGACCAAGAACTACCATAGAGTATGTGTTAATAAGAGAAAGAAAAATAAAATGGAAGAATAAAATTGGAAAAATAAGGATGCTAATAAAATTAATTACTGAGACTAGTTTATTGAAGAATTAAATGCTTAGAAGAATCCTAAAAACTGATCTCTCCCTTTGTTTTTAGTCAGGACCACATGATATTATACATATACAAAACTTCTTTTAATAAAATTAAAGTGTATATGTATACATTATAATCATTACTTCAAGAAAGTATGTATTTTTATAACATAAATCCCTCATACTAACTTGTTTCTTTTTGCTTTGCCTCAGAATACCTGAAAATCATATTTGGGAGGTGGGGAAGTTGAATATGTTAAACCTTCAAAAGTATAGGAAATACAGTTATCCTAGTTGCCTTTTTAATATATGTATTAGGTAATTTCCTTTCATTTTTGCATGTGAGCCTTTGTCTCAAAGTCTGTATTAGTTGTGTAATCAAAGGCACAGTCGTCTCTGGTGGTCTCTTGAATGCGAACTTCCAGTTCTTCTTTATACCCATGTACAGCAAAGCCAAGGGGTGAACTCAGCATCCAACTGTGTTCCTCCTGATACTCTCAGACCAGTATCAATCTGCTGTTAGGCCAGATTCCTTTGCCATTGAAGCTCACATCATCTTCCCTTTCCTTCTGCTGTTGTGTCTCACTCATTTATGTCAGCTTCCTAAATTTATTGAAGATTTGGGCATCTGGCTCACAAAATTTTTCTTTAAATCTTGATTTATTTCCACCTCCATGTGTGTGACACAAGTCTTTTTCTTAATCACCTCCACTTTAGCTACCTACTTTCATATGCTGTTAGACCTTGTTATCATTGGTAACAAAACCCGTGAACCTGAATAATCCCACTCAGTGCTCACAATCTTCTATTCTGCTTTCTGACCTCAGCAGGAATTCTTCATCTTTTGCTAATCTGTTTTTCTTTTCCTAGTTTTACTTCATTATTGTGCTTCGATTGCTTGCTCCACCCTTGAATTACTCATAATTACCCTAAAGTCCATTTTCTTTAACCATAACTGTCTTAAAGATCCTAAACTGTGGATCAGTGCAGTCTTTTTTATTCCCGTAACTGGGTGGCTGATTGCTATTGAAGGACATCATAAAACTCAAACATTGTTTGCTGTTATAAACCTGTGCTTTCATTTCTCAGCTGGGTCTTCAGTATCACTTGTCCCCAGCCTCCTGCTTGTCTCTAGACTATGAAACGCATGTTCTTCTCACCTGATTTTCCAGACTTTAGCCATTCTTCTTAAGCGCTGTCTTTTCCCTTTCCTAAGTATTCTTTATATGTAGTTGTTAAGTAAGTAAATAAGTGACAGGCTTCTAATATTTTAAAGATTTAAATGAAGTATTTGGCAAATGAATTTTTACCCCGTTTTGAGCAGGAAGCCAATAGAACCATGAGTTCTTTGACATCAAGACCTAGATTTTATTTTTTCTAAAATCTAAAGTCTAACAATAGTAAAACAGTTTTATGGTGATATTGCATTTAATAATTTTAATTTAATTTAGTATAAATAATATAAATGGATCAAATATCTGCTATTCTCAACTCTTTAGAACATTAAATTGTATGATTGGACAAATGAAGCATATCTTGGCTGCAGAACAAAAGAAAACAGATTTTAAGCCAGAAGATGAAAACAATGTTTTGATTCAGTATACTAATGTGAGTAGAATGATTTGATATGCTAGTAAGAAATATCTGCTTTCTTAATGCATTTGTTATCATTTTCATTGGTTTTTCTTACTGTAGTCTTGTTTTTTTTTCTTTTTATACTTAGAGATTAATGAAAAACAATATATATTTTCTCCTTAGCTAACATGATATACATTTCTATGTAATAAGTGTAGAAAAAATTTTACAGGCCTGTGTTAAAGTCTGTGCTTATGTAAGAAAACAAGTGGAGAAGATTAAAAATTCCATGGATGGGAAGAATGTGGATACAGTTTTGATGGAATTTGGAGTACGTTTTCATCGACTTATTTATGAGCACCTTCAACAATATTCCTACAGTTGTATGGGTGGCATGTTAGCAATTTGTGATGTAGCTGAATATAGGAAGTGTGCCAAAGACTTCAAGGTATGTATTCACAAATATCAAACTTATAAATAGGCTCAAGAACATGTCAGACCATTAAAAATCTGTACTGACTTACCATTTGTGAAAAAGTTCATACATTTTATTGATGCCTAATGAGAATAACATTTCCTAACTGAAGAAGTATGGTTCTAATGATATTTCCATATTGACACATTTTTGCTTCATGCTTTATTTTTAGACAAAGCCATATTGCTTTCCCCTAGTCCAAATGAACTTGTTCACTACTATCACTAATACTATATATGTCACACATTGGCAGAATATGTCCTTTCCTCATGTATCTCTCTCTCTGAAATCACTTTTTCTAAGGTTTCAATTATTTAAGAAAAGTGCTAAATGAATGATAACTAGTTCTAGTCCACAAAAATATAAATGATTATCACTGTTGAAGACGATTCACAAAATATGTATCTTTCCAGAAAGATTATAGCCAGGTTTATGTAATAACTGAAATATTTGAGTTTTAATGCTTCAGGAGCTTTCAAAAGTTCTAATATATTGAGCCCTCCCATATTAGTAAATCCTGACCAATACTATGTATATGAGAAGAATTTACTAATCATAAAACTAGAAATCACTGTTTCAATGTTTTGTTTTGTTTTCTTATCTCAATTTAGATTCCACTGGTATTACAGCTTTTTGATACTCTGCATGCACTTTGCAATCTTCTGGTAGTTGCCCCAGATAATTTAAAGCAAGTCTGCTCAGGAGAACAACTTGCTAACCTGGACAAGAACATTCTTCACTCCTTCGTACAACTTCGTGCTGACTATAGATCTGCCCGTCTTGCTCGACATTTCAGCTGAGGTTGCATTTGGAAGAGAAGTGTGTTGTACTTCAGCAGGCCTTGGTTGATAGAAAGCACAGGAGATTTCTTACGACATAGCCAACACTTTATGGAAAAATGACTGGAAAAGCAGCAGCCATACTTACCCTTGAGATTTTTGTTTTTAAATTTGGACACTAGTAGCCATATTTTGTTTTTTTACTTTTAAGTTGATTTTTAATACCATCTTTGAACATAGAAGTTTCAAATTCTGTGAAACTATATGTCACGGTTTTCATCCTGGAAAATCTTAGTATCAGAAGGCAAATAGATGTTACCAGTTTTCCAGTTCATGTTCTTTAACATATTCCATTGGGAAATTTCACCATCCTATTTTATCAATTTTAATGACCTTGTAGCACCAGAAATTGTTAATCAAGTTATTTTAGGTATTCCTAGAGAACTTTTTGCCTCTTTCAAAAGGTTAACAATTGAGCATAATTTCCTTGGTTGATTGGATTTTTTCTGAGGTACAACCATAGTACTATTTCAAGAAAAATGTTATATACTAAACTAAAATGATGAAATGTTTTATGTAGATATTAGGAATGGATTAGAATATATCTGCTTTCTGGGTAAAAAAAACACAATTTAAAGTTTACTGTTTCTTGGTAAACAGATTTTAAGTCGTTGCTAGCAAGAAATTAATAAAACTACCTTGTTTTATATTTCAGTTAAGATAAGGTGGAGGACCTTAACAGAAAGACCATATTTATTCATTATTTTAATATTATAAAGGAAGTAAAGTGAAGTATACTCTAAATAGTGCATATGAGAAATATTGACAATGTTTAGCAATAATGTAGTCCTTTAATATTTCAATCTTGAAGTCAAATTGGAATAATATGGAGTGGCTAAACATGCAGATAGTCTTCTGTTTTAATGGGAATTGGGAATTCATATTCTAAGTCTGGAGATGAGCTTTGCAAAGTTAGTAGCTTTTCATATCTAGTTTCTGTCATTATCTTTTCAGGGCATTTCTGAAGCAGTTTCTACTGAATGTAGTTAATTGAATTGGCTTGATATGGTGACACAGTAAATCACTTACAAAATTTTAAACATCAAGTGGAAATTTAGAAAGGCCATTAGCTCTATAAACTTGCTCTGTGAGAATGCATTCTTAACTCTGTGTAGTGTTTCAGCTCCCATTGTGCTGTTCACCTTACGGGAACAGATAAATTCTAATGTTCAACTCATTCTTGGCATTATTTTCTCTTAGTGTAGGTTTTTTGGCCTAATTTTGGAAAATTACTTTTTTTTTTGAAGAATGTTTCTGAATGGTCATCCACTTTACCAAAACTTTTTCAGGTCTAAAGCTAGCTACTATTTAAGTTACTGTTGACTGAATTTTCTTTATTTTCTGTTTAGCCCAGTGTTATCAAGGTGATCAAGACAAATGAAGTATGCCAACATTGATTAAAGCATTTAAGGAGATTGTGGCAGCTTTAGAAGGCTGTCTAGTTTTCTATTCCTTAGTCAAGGGAGAACCAGAAGAGGTTTTGGATACTAGGGAAAGTCATATGCTTGTACTATTGCCATTTTAGAAAACTCTGATGTGAATTCACATTATACCTCTGTTACCTAAAAGCCAACAATATGAACCCAGTAGTTTTACTGGCCATTTGAATTCTTTGTATACAGTGTCAATTTGTAAAAATGGGTGGGGGACGGATCTCAAATAAAACATGAGAAAACATTTTGAGACTTCCAAAACAAAGAAGCACTTCAAATTATTTTGTTTAGATTAATTTTAAAAATGTATGACATATACTTGTTGCATAGATATTTTGTTAATTATTATTTACATGCTTGAGTTCCGTGCAATATTTTCCATTATGTCCATTGACAGGGCAGTGACAAAGAAAACTCGTAAGTGATAACTTAATTTAGAAGTGTCAATATTAATGCTCAATAAACAAATTCCCTGCAATTGTTTTTTTTTTATTTCACTTTATTTTTTACATTTAAGGACATCCATACTGAATTTTATAAATTATTTTTCTTTACATTTTTAAGATGTTTCTTTTTGTTATCATAGGTCTTCTTACTTCCTTTTTTAGCAGAAATATTCTGATTTTTAAAATATTTTTGATATTCACAGCCACTAAAAAATTTTGCCCAAAATTTATGGCTCAAAAGAGATGATTAATAAGGGAAATGTTTTTCATATGTACACAGTAATTTTAGGTAGCAATAATGGAACTTTGTATATTAGTAACTTTAGCCAACATTTGAATAAAGATAATCTTGGCAATTTTCTGCAGTTCCGCATGAGCTAACAACAATATTTAGGTAATGTGTTGAAGTTGAAAATGTGCTCTAAAACGCTGTAAATTAATTACTTTTCTAAAACTCGAGTATATTATGTTTGCATAAAATGGTACAGAAAGTGAAATACAGAACACAGGTTTAAGAAGGAAATCTAGCTTTTATGACATTGGAGAAAGACACTCAGCCAGAATAGTTAAATAGTCCTTATGAAGAACTATTAAATAACAGCTGGATGGAACTGTGGACTATGTGACTATTCCAAGAAATTTATTTATTAGCCTCATTTTATGGGCATCACCATGGTTGCAAATCCCTAGCATTTTTCTTGTTTTAAAAAGAGCTACTAATAGGTTAATTAGAAGGTTAATTTTTTGCAAGTAGGTTAATTTGTGGTATATTTTAGGCCATTTCTCTCATTTGAAATATTTCACTATCTGAATGTCAGCCTTCTGGCTCTTAGTAAAATAATTGAATTACCAGCCACTAGATTGATTCAAAGTGGAGAATATACTGCTTCCTTAACATTCCCTTTTCTCATCTGTGATGTTGAATACTTATAAGTAACCAAATAAAGAAATTTTGGTTCATGAAATGCCACAAAACCCCTTAAGGTAGTTATGTGTTTATAAGTCAGTGCCTGAGGCATGCTTGAACTGTATGTGACAATAAGGTTCACTCAGCATAATTTGTTAGTGACTTAAAAAGCTCACATCTGGGAGTTTAACTTTTTTTAATGTAAAAATACTCTGCATATTACCCATATATTGCCCATTTTGACTTAGATTTCTAATGGAGCATTCGATACACAAACATTCTGTGCTTTCATCCACTGAGTTCAGTTGTATTCAGTTCCTGTAGTACTTCTTTTTGTTTGAGAAAGTCTGTCCTGAATACACGTGTACTTTGGAGGAAAAGACCAGTCCATATTGTTAGAGTAAATAATTCTACATAAAGTAAAAAGAGCAAATTTTAAATTTTGATGCATAATAAAGATAATTACAGCTACATTTATTGACTTAAGTTCCATGCACTTAAGGCCTTTTAGGGTATTATCTCATTTGATTCCAAAACAGCCCTGGGGGTTGGATACTATTATATCCATTTGACAGATGAAATACCTAAAGCAAATAAATGTTAAGTAGGCCTGTTCAAGGTCTATAGCCAGTAAAAGGCTGAGCTTGAAACCTAACTCTTGCACACACTATTCAATGCACAATTCTTATGTAACATTGAAAAGGTCCTTTTTTTGATAGACTTATTAATTTTGCTTAATCTAATTTTCTTTTCATCAAATGTTTAGTTCTCATTGTAGTGTTTAGGTTATGAAGTTGATACACAATTTCAGTATCTAATTTGCTATTGGATTTTTTTAGTGTGCCTAATGTGTGATCAATAATTTTTAAATTTGGTTTTTAAAATTTTATAAATGGCTATGAAATTTTAATTGAATATTAAATTTGTACCTAATAGAACTATTTCCATCAAAGAGTTCTCTTTAGTATTACTTTACATAATCATAATATTGTTTCTACTTAATTTTATAACAAGGGTCCAGGTATTGTACCATATCTTGTAACATGGGAACAAATGACAACTCTTTGGAAGATAAGAAGAAATCAGTATTTCTGCCTTCAAAAACAGAATATTTTAATGTCATAAGTTTGCTTGTCATAATTAACTTTTCTGTTAATTATTTAGCACATTGGTAGTTTTTAAATGGCAAATGTAGGAGTATAAATGTGTGGGAGAATGTACTCAGTTTATTAACAATAAGTGATCATTTTTATGTATCAAAAATTGCATGTTTAATCTTTTTAAAAGTTGCCTTAACTTCTAACTTTTATTCTTACAACTGATCAGTTCTTTCTCTTTCAAATTTAGAGGAGAAACAACCCCTCAAGTGTATTTGAGATAGAGACCTGATACATTAGAGAGTAAGAAATTTATTTGGTGATTTGAAGCAGCTAGGCTGATAACCCTGGGCTTAACAAGATTGATATTTTTAAACTAGGTCCTATATACTTTAACACTATTATTTGGGAGGTAACAGTAAACCAGTTCTTATGAACACTATCACTTTTGGAGGCAGAGACAGGTAATTAACCATACTTACTCATTTTCTAAGTGGTTTAGAAGGTTGCAGTCTGCCTCACCATACAAAGCCAATTTAAATATGAATATATCACATCATACTCCAAACAGCAAACAGTCTCAGAGGAAAGTCATTTATTCAGAAGGCATAGATTTGTGCTAGACAGCAGTGATGCATTACAAATATATAATTATTTGCACTAATATTTGAGCAGGTGGAATGGATTAGAACATGATCAACATTATGCTGCTGATAACATGTATTTTTCTATATTAATATGTACTGTGCAACATGTATTAAAATTGTCAATAATTCATTTTAGTCATGATACTAATATTTATATTACTGTGTTGAGACAGTATCCAACTGAGCCACTTTTAATTTAAAAGTCAAATTGGTTATTAAGTTTACTTTCAGAAACTACTTACTTTATAATCATTGGAAAGTCAGTAAAACAGAATTATCACTGACTAGTGACTTAATAGGAAGAAATATAGAGGGTTAAGAATAGGGGTAGAAATATGGAATAAGTTGTTTCATTTACAGCCCAGATGAGTGACTTCCTCTTGTTTTCACCATTGGCAGTTTTAAGTGAAGGAAAATGTCTTACTCCTTCCAGAGTATCTTCATATTAACAAACTAAGCCTGAAGATTGGATGGAACCAACTCCAAGAAATTAACCTCCAGTGGTGGACTTTCAAATTTTCTAGATTAAACTTGGAGAGGTAGGAAGCTTTCTTGATGTCCCTGTTATCTTAAATAGGCAGGTGCTCTTGAATGAGGCTGTCTCTTTTTACCTGCCTATCATTTTAATCTTTATACTGTGGGTAAATTTGGTTCCTTTGAACTATGGTGTTTTCTTAGGACAGTTCTATCAAATCTGCAGCCTTTTGCTATAGAGAATATTATCCAAATAGAATCTGGAAAATGCTGACCTAAAGAAAATGGTGAAACTACCTCTAAGTATATTGTTTGCAGATGCTGTGTGCTATTTAGAGGATTCACATGGGATTATGTGAAAATACTTGATAAGGTATACTACTAAGTGCCTTTATATTAGGATTCTCCAGTGGGATGTATTTTTAATTTTTGCCACATGGGGGAGATGTTATTTTTATAGTAATACCTACGTTTTTGTTTGATTTTAAAAATAGAACTCACAAAGCTTCTCTCTACCAAACACCACCTATGAACATGTCACTATCCTAACAGGAAAAGAGAGAGAGCATGTTTGTGTGCGTGAATGCAGATACTTAAATGAGATTCTGAAGGTTATTTGTGAGAAAAATTTCTGAGTGAATCAATGACACAAAATTAATACAGTTTTGAAGAGCATATGTGTACACAGGAGTTGTCCGAAGTCCATAGTAATTAAAGTTATGGTTTTTTTAGAGTTATATATCATGAATTGCTCTATCAACTCTAAGAAGAATAATTTATGGATTGGTTTTCTCCATTATCCTTAAAAAAACTTTCTGATACAATCTCAAATTTACAGAAATGTTGTAAATACTGTACAAATAAACATTTTCCACTTTAACAGTAAGTCGCTGTCATGATGACACATCACCCTTCAGTGCTTTTGTATTTCCAAAAAGAAGGAATTCTCCTACGTAACCACATACAACTTCAAAATCAGGAAGACAACGTTCAAGTTTCACTAATTGTCCCAATGAGGACTAGTTCGAAATCACATGTGAGCTTAGGTGGTAGGCTCCCTTGCTTCTTTCACCCTGCAACAGTTCCTCAGTTTTTCCTTGACTTTAGTCATCCTCGGCATTTTTGTAGGCTATGGGACTGTTACTTTGTAAAGCATCTGTCCTTAAATTTGGATTTATCTGTTTACTCTTAATTAAATTCCAGTGATACTTTTTTGGCAGGGGTATTAGAGAAGCAGTTTTGTGTTCTCGTTGCCTCCTATCAGGTAGTGTACAGTTTCAGTTTGCCTCATTTTTGATGAGGTTCAGGCTGATCAGTTGCTTAAGGTACTTCCTTTTGGGCTCCTTTACTGTAAATTAACTGTTTTTCACTCTTTAAGTATTTTGTGGGGAGGTAATTAGAAGCTATGTATATATCTTGCTCCTAATCAAAATTTTAATTTTTTAATATTAGTGATTTGTGGTTTTCTAGTTAATGGATTATCTGTTAATTCTTTTGACTCTGATTGTCCCACAGTTGGCCAGTGGGAGCTCTCTTCAACCTGGCTTATATGTCCTTTTGACATGTTGTCATCATTTTTTTGCACTTTTTACTTTTGAGTACACAGATTTTCCAAACTTACTTTGTACTTGCCTTGTTGCCTCAGTACTGGAATCAGCCATTTTTACACATTTTAGTAGAAATTGGTATTTAGAAGCCACTATTTGTGTGTGAGATGTGCTTATTATGATTGGGATGCCACTGCCTCCACTCCTCCCCAGTGGACAGTGCTAGGGAGCTTTATGTGTGCGTGCAGCACATACATGTATATATTTTAAATGTACGCACACATACATACATTCCTTTCTTTGTGTGATACCCTTCTAACCCCACTTGAACTCCTCATACTGGGTTTTCCCTCTCCACTCAGGAGGAGGGCTTCCTCACCTCATGCAGCCACCAAGGCTTTGGCTGTGGCACAGAGTTGGGGGGATGAAAATGGTCATTACAGAGAACATGTAAAAATTTTAAAAGTCTAAATAAAAATTATTTATAATTTAATCATTCACAAACAACTCTTTTTTGGTGTGTTTTCTTTTTACTGTAGTGAGCAAAATAGTAAAGCTGAATTGAGAAGGGTAAAGTGTTTATGCCCAAAACATGGAACTTATATTTTGAAGGAATTAAATTTCAAATGAATACCATATGTTTTTGTATAATACATCTCCTTGCTACTGTGAATAGTTGCTAATTATTGATAGAGAACATCAGAGAAACTTGATTGCGTGAGTGGAAATCTGCCCATTAAGGACTGAATAGAATATTTTTACTAATAAGATTCAAACAAAAGAGGATAATATAGTTGTTTCGTAGGCCACAAAATAAAAATACATTGCAGTAGGTAGGATAGACTATGTGAGAAAGGGGTCTGGATCTGGATTGTATTTCATACATGTTAAAATAAACTATGTGAACTAGAAGTCTATATACATGGACAGATTACTCAATTCTCTTTCCTTGTTAGGTCTCTAATGATCACTGCTAGGGCTAAAATTATATAATTCTAAATGCAAGAAAATGCAGGCTTTCTATTAACAGCTTATAGTGATGTCAGAAATAGATTAGCCAAAAAAGTCCTATCTGACTCTGCTGAGAATATCTGAGAGTCAAATCCTCCCACGTTGCCACCAGCATGCAGTGACCATACAAGGTTTATCCAGAAGGTATCCAGCCACATAATAGGAAAAATAGGGACATTTATTGAAGAAGATACAAGATACAAGAAACTATGCATAGGACAAGGACACCTCAGTCCCCTTCAAAGCAGCACCTTGGGACCTCACACAGTTCTCCCAATCACCATCAGCTGCCCTTTCATATTTTCCTGAATCTCACTGATGTTCTGAAGTCTTTTCCTTTCTAAGGGGATAATTTGATTTAGGAAAAGACAGAAGTTGCAGGGTACCAAATCTAGGCTGTAGGGGGGCTGAGTCACCTGGGTGATTTGATGTTTCATAAAAAACCTTCACGTGATGCACAAGTAGGAGCATTGTCGTGATGAAGCTGCCAGTTGCTAGTTGCCCAGAGCTATGGCCTGAATCCAAATGTTTTCTGCAGAGGAATGTTTAAGCTTAATGCAAAATTTGATGCAGATTTATTGCTCTGCTCAGTCATCTTGAATGCAGTGGCAGCAGCACACAAGCTCACTATGGAGTCTACTTTCACTGACTAGTACAGTGAAGTCTTTTTCACGCATATGCTTTTCAGTCCACTCTCCTTGGCTGCCAGTTTACGTCGATGTTGTGCAAATCATTCTCGTTATTAATGGCTGGACTTTTTCCAGTCAGACCTCGTGTACACACCATTGTGATCAAGAGCCGACGCTATTGAATCATACAAATGACAATGTGCATCTTGACTTTGTAGAACTGTTGTAAAGTGGGGAGAAAAGACATTTGTGATGATTTTTAATCTTACAACTTTTATTAGTTTTTTTTAAGGTGTTTTCAGTCCTATGTGGGAGCACTCATTTGGTCATTATTCATGTGACAAACATTGAAATTCTGTTTTTTGTCAGGCACGGCACTAGAAGTTAGGATGTTAAGATGACTACAAAGGTCCTGCCTTCAAGACTCTAGTCTAGTGAGAGTTAATGTATGCAACAAATTATAGTCCTCTATACGTGCTATAATAGTAGCATGGGACCAGGTGCTGTAAGAGCCCAAAGGGAACAGGTGTTACAATTTGTGGTGAAGTAGGGGGTTGGGTAAGTAATTAAAGCTGTTCAAGTTACTTTTTATTAGACACCTACTAAGTGTCAGGCATCTTGCTAAGAACACACTGCACTTAATCCTCACTCTGGGACTTAAGCACTATTATTATCCCCATTTTGCAAGTGAGGGAACTGAGGCACAGAGGCATTGGATAACTTGGCCAAGGTTACATATCTAAAAAGTAATGGAGTCAGAATTGAAACTGTACTTGCACATTTCCAGAACCAGTGCATTAACTATTTTGTTCTGTTGCCTCTAAGAAGTTTTCAAAAAAGGAGGTTACATTTCAACTGAACTTTACAAAAGCAAGGAACAATTCAGGGAATAAGGCAGGCAAAGGGGCATTCCAGGTTGAAGAGAGTCACACTTGCAAAGGTATGGTGCATGAGGCACTGGCATATTCACTGATGGGAGGACCCCTAGACCCCTGTGAGTAATGCTCAGGGTGTACGGTCTATCAAAACAGGCACGTGAAGCTGGAATACTTGGGTGGGTTAGCTTATTAAAAATCGTTAGTACTATCATACAGATAACAGAACCAGCCATTAATGATTAAGAAAGTGAATGACATGAACAGCTGTTTAAAAAGATGACTGATAGGAATGTGTGCACGTTGAATGAGTGGGGAGAAGAAAGCAGAACAAGAGGGGCCATTGCATTAATCTGGTTGTTGAAGTCCTGCATTAGAAGAGTTGATGGATTTGGGGAATACTTGGAAGATTAAACCAGTAGTACTTACTGCGTTGCTTATTGGATGTGGAGGGCAAAGAAGAAAAGGAGTCAAAGAAGTTTCTAAGATTCTTAGCTTACGTATCTTGGTGAATACTAATTATTGACTTACATTATACATTAGCAGAAGTAGATTTAGGGGGAATGCCAGTGAGTGCTGGAAGAACATCTATTCTCTTACCAGAAGAACTTGGTTAAGGTCATGTAAAAGAATTTAAGCTATTTTTAAAATCTGCATTTTTCTCAGTAATACCAGAAATGTGGCAGAAGAAAAATCCATGTTATTTTATGTCTTGGGAACATAGGGATGGTTTTGAAATTTGAATCATACATTAGGTAAATTTATAATAGTTGAGTTTTCTTAAAAAAGAAAAAGGCTTTCTAGCATTTTAGTGTATGGATATAATAGGCAGACTCAATTGGAATGACACCTGTTCCCCAAAGTCAGTCCTTTAGAAAGTTTAAATTGGAAAGTATATAGATGACCCTCTGTAGTTGGACTGTTTACATGCTTGGAATGCTTTACACCTTGATTCCCAATTGTGAGCCAGAATTTTCTGCTTTGATTCTGAGGATGTCAGGTAGCTTCTTCTGGGAAGACACTGCAGAGCTTGAGATGCTGCAGATCTAGAACATAGTTCTTAGCCATTATATTTAACTGTAATCCCAAGGAAATTATGGTTATCTCAGTAAGGTTAAGAAAAATGACTCGTTGGCAATAGTATGGGGAAAGTGTAGTTACATATTGCGGATATACCACAAACTAATTTTCTTATATTTGATGGATTTCAGACAGGTGTTTTAAAAGCATATTTTTTGGATCTTTTAGAAGTTTGATATAACTGGGTGGTCTAGAGCAGACTACTAGTTAGCCAAAGGATTAGCAAAATCCTCTAGATGTAATTCATTTCTAAATCTGATAGAAAAGAACCCCACATATTGTTATCCTTATATTTCAAATGCTTTCTGTTCTGCTTTAGCAGTTTTACTAACAAGTCAAATTATTTTTGTTGTGATTACTAATGGCTTTGATCAAAAGAACATTTATAGAATATTGAATATGAAATTTGTGGATATAAATTTTATTAAAATTCTGAGATATTTAGTAAATACTTTAATATTAATACATACTTAACTTTAATCAGTGAAGACATGTATCCTCAAAACATTTTAATATTTTGATTTTTCTGTAAAGGATATTATATAAAAGTATAAAGGCCCCATGGACAGAAACAAGGGGGGGTGGGAACAGGAGGGAGGTGGGGAGGGCTGGGGGTGGTCTGGGTTGGGGGTAAAAGGCAGAAAACTACTTGAACAACAATTAGAATTTAAAAAAAAGTAAGTGGTAGTGACATGTAGCTACAGGATACACATTTACTTCAAGTGCATGTAGAAATTT